CTTCTTAATTCAGATCAAACTGAGGTTATTGTACTCGGCCCTGAAAAGCTTAGAAATATGGTATCTAAGCAGATTCTTACCCTGGATGGCATTACCTTGGCCTCCAGTAACACTGTGAGGAACCTTAGAGTCATTTTTGACCAGGACATGCCCTTCAACGCACATATTAAACAAATATGTAAGACTGCTTTCTTCCATGTGTGCAACATCTCTAAAGTTAGAAATATCCTGTCTCAGAGTGACGCTGAAAAACTAGTTCATGCATTTATTACTTCCAGGCTGGACGACTGTAATTCATTATTATCAGGAAGTCCTAAAAATTCCCTGAAAAGCCTTCAGCTAATCCAAAATGCTGCAGCAAGAGTCCTGACAGGGACTAGAAAGAGAGAGCAGATTTCTCCTGTTTCGGCTTCCCTTCATTGGCTTCCTGTTAAATGCAGAATTGAATTCAAAATCCTGCTCCTCACATACAAGCTCTTAAATAATCAGGCCCCATCTTATCTTAATGACCTTGTAGTTCCATATCAGCCTATTAGAGCACTTCGCTCTCGCTCTGCAGGCCTACTTGTTGTTCCTAGAGTATTTAAAAGTAGAATGGGAGGCAGAGCCTTCAGTTTTCAGGCCCCTCTTCTGTGGAACCAGCTTCCAGTTTGGATTCAGGAGACAGACACTATCTCTACTTTCAAGATCATGCTTCAAACTTTCCTTTTTGCTAAAGCGTATAGTTAGGGCTGGACCAGGTGACCCTGAATCCTCCCTTAGTTATGCTGCAACAGACGTAGGCTGCCGGGGGATTCCCATGATGCATTGAGTTTTTCCTTTCCAGTCACCTTTCTCACTCACTATGTATTAATAGACCTCTCTGCATTGAATCATATCTGTTATTAATCTCTGTCTCTCTTCCACAGCATGTCTTTTATCCTGTCTTCCTTCTCTCACCCCAACCGGTCGCAGCAGATGGCCCCGCCCCTCCCTGAGCCTGGTTCTGCCGGAGGTTTCTTCCTGTTAAAAGGGAGTTTTTCCTTCCCACTGTCGCCAAAGTGCTGCTCATAGGGGGTCATATGATTGTTGGGTTTTTCTCTGTATCTATGAAGCGCCTTGAGGCGACTTTTGTTGTGATTTGGCGCTACATAAATAAAATTGAATTGAATTGAATTGAATTGAATTGAATTGAATTGAATTGAATTGAATTGAAAAGGAGATGTAAATTATAACCGTGCATGAGTGGATTTGCCAGTCCTTCCGGTTTCTCGTGGATTGCTGGGTTTTGGTTTCTGTATGTTCTCCCACCTCGCTGTCACCTGCCTCCTTGGACTCCTTACAAGTAGTTACATAGCAACAACAGCCATGGCAACTTACACAGCAGCTCTGTATGATGTAAAAGGACAAAAAAATAAAATAAATTAAAAATAAAATCAAACATAAAAAAATGCTAAGATGGGGAGAATATTATTTGTGTATGACATCTGTTTTCACTGTAACTTAAGAAGATTTGTGCAAAAAACAAACAAACAAAAAAGCAAAATATCTGGATTTAAATGGGGCTTCTGGATAACAGGGAGACTTAAATTATAACTGGCTGAGTGGCTTAGTTACATAGCAACAGCAGCCACGGGGCCTTATGATGCTGGAGGATAAATGCTAAGTAGATGGAGAGAGTATTCAGATTCACAAACTAACGTATTTAAGCTCTTTTAGATTATTGTTGTCTTGAAGGATGACTGTATAAATGAGTCTGAATTGAATTTAACTGAACTGAATGTTCTGTGCTTATGACTTCTCATTAACTGGAGGGGTCATCTGAAATGGTAAAATGCCCTGTATTTGTATTAGGGCTGCCACAAACGACTACCGATTAATCAGATCATCATCCATTGGACGTAAAAAGTACAGCTTATTGCACCAGCAGCATCTGCTCTTATATAACTATCATTAGCTTACAGCTTTAAGTGTTTAAGGTCTGTGCTAACTAAAAATAAAGACAAGATGATAGTTTATTAAATTTTAATGAAATTTGCAGATTGTTTCGGTGAAGTTTAATAAACTCCTTGCTATCTAAACTATAACAGGACACCGGAGTAGATTCTCGAGCATCTCACACTTCTGATAATCAGCTGTCTGCTTGACGTTTATTCAGCTGTGTAAAAACTATAACTTTAATCTCAGCCAAACCGATTTACTCAGGAACAAATAAAACACTGAAAAAAGCCAAACAATAACATTTTAAGTTATCTTAGTGACTTATATATCATTTTTAACCTGAGTAGTGAAAGACGGCGGTGGGTTTGAAAACGATTTGCTGGGAGTCCGGTGTTCTCACCGGCTCTAGTGAGCCTAGCCCCCGGCTAACTATCGAGCTAGTGGGTAACAGACGTCTCCGAAAACGTCGGAGCGCTTTTGAAAATATGTGGTGTCTTAATAAACTGAGCAGATATTTGAGGTTTACACAGCTACATTCTCGCCTGAAAATATGTTAAACGTTTATTTTGTGACCCAGAAAGAACAATAAGAGTAATATTAAAACTAAGTAGCTGCCGCCATTGTTGGAATGGCGGCATTCATAGCTGGGCCGCGCTATGAATTCTGGGACAGAGCTACTTCTTCTTTGGTGTTTAACGGCAGCTGGCATCCTTGTACATGCAGTGCTGCCATCTTCTGTTTCAGTCCGTTATTACACTCTTAAATCCTGCTACTGATTCCTGCGTCTTTTGGGATCTTACAAAGCTTCAAACGACGCGTCGACTATTAAATCAGTCGTCGACGATTTTGATAGTCGACTAATCGTGGCAGCCCTAATTTGTATAGTGCTTTACTTTGTCCCTAAGGACCCCAAAGCGCTTTACACTACATTCAGTCATCCACACATTCACACACTGGTGATGGCAGCTACATTGTAGCCACAGCCACCCTGGGGCGCACTGACAGAGGCGAGGCTGCCGGACACTGGCGTCCCCGGGCCCTCTGACCACCACCAGTAGGTTGCCTACAGGTGGTGGTCAGAGGGCACCGTTGCGGGTGAAGCGTCTTGCCCAAGGACACAACGACCGAGACTGCCCGGGGCTCGAACCGGCAGCCTTCCGATTACAAGACAAACTGCCAACTCTTGAGCCACGATCGCCCCTGTCATTGATATTCAAACCAAGACACTTTCAGAATTTGACCTTTCAAGTTAACCAGTGTAAAATCTAGCTTGCAAAATGCTTGGTGAGAATAGAATAGAATAGAATAGAATAGCCTTTATTGTCATTGTACTGAGTACAACGAAATTGGAGTGCCACTCCCTTGGTGCAAGTTTCAATAATAAATATAAATGTAAAATATAAAAAGTACAAAAAAAACAATCGTAAGTACTCAAACAATAGTATGTACAATATATACAGGATAGCAGCATTAATATGATGACAGTATGAATAGCAGCATAATATAATGACAGTGACGGTATGGAATAGGTTCAGTTGTTTTTGTGCTTATTTACTACGGTGATAGCTCTGGGAAAGAAGCTATCCCTGAATCTGTTTGTCCTGGTTTTATGTGACCTGTACCGTCGGCCTGACGGTAGTAGTTCAAACAGTTGGTTGCTGGGGTGAGAGTGGTCCTTGATGATATTGCCAGCTCTGCTGAGGTACCGAGAGTTTGCAGTGACCTCCAGGCTGGGCAGAGAGCAGCCAGTGATCTTCTGGGCTGTGTTGATGACCCTCTGCAGTACTTTCCTGTCTGCAGCTGAGCACCCTGCATACCATGTTGTTATGCCGTACGTTAGGATGCTCTCTATGGTGGCTCTGTAAAATGTCACCAGCAGCCTCTCCTCCAGGTTGTTCCTCCTGAGCACTCTCAGAAAGTGGAGACGCTGCTGGGCCTTTTTAACCACCGCCGTGGTATTTGTAGTCCAGGAGAGGTCATCAGAGATCTGCACGCCCAGAAACCTCATGGAGTGTACCCTCTCCACACAGCTCCCGTGAATGTAAAGTGGGGCCGGGTCTGCTCTGCCCTTCCTGAAGTCCAAGATAAGTTCTTTAGTTTTCGTGGTGTTCAGTTGGAGGTTGTTAACTGAACACCACTCAGTCAGTCTGTTGACCTCATCTCTGTAGTCCGACTCATCCCCCCTTGAGATGAGTCCAACCACTGTGGTGTCATCCGCGAAAAGTGAGTAAAGAGAGTTATTTAAAAGTGAGGTGAAGGAAGTATTATTAGAAGTGAGTGAAAGAATTCATGGTTTTGTTAAGCAAGGCTGTCTAAGAAATTGACCACATTTAAAGGGAAACTGTGGCTCAGCTAATTTGCTTTCCTGATCAACAAAAGAAGAGAGAGAGAGACAAAGGGGTGTGGCAGAGAGAGAGAGAGAGAAGCAGACAAGATGCAAGAAAAACAAAGAGGAAGCGGTGAGGAAAGGTGGCAAGGAAGAATGGACTGAGTGCTTTCTAAAAGTGTGCCAGTGGGTTTCGGATGAAAAGCCACCCCCCCTCCCCTCTCTCTCTCTCTCTCTCTCACACACACACACACACACACACACACACACACACACACACACACACACACACACACACACACACACACACACACACAGGCAGGAACACTTCATGCCCTTAAATGTATGTCGACCAACAAGATTTTTATTGTCAATTGTTCAAACATTTATGCTTATATTAACTTTTTATTTTATTTTAGAAAAGCCGCAGGTATTGTTGTCCGTCCGTCCCGTCCCCCCCCGACACACACCCTTCTTTACGTTTCTTTTTCTTTGCTTTTTTAATTGATTTAAATGTTAATCGGTTTTACTTCACTGGCACCTTTCCCGCCGGACAAACAGGTTTCTCTCCAATTGTCTGGTCTCCCCTTACATAGCAGCGGGGGACAAGTGTTCACTCCCACTAACAGAACAGGGAGCCAACGGTGTTTGTAAGACGATCAGCTATCGATGGATTAAAAACATCCGCGGAGCTCCGGTGGGTTTCTGAGCGCACGCGCAGATATTTCAGCGTGGACGTGGAGTTTCTGGAGCGCGCAGATATGTGGATCTACCTGTGACCCACAAAGAGATGCGCTGTCAGTCGGTCGATACTGGCCGCCATGTGGACAGGGCAACAAAATCCAGATAAATTAGATTACTGGATTGACCGCAACAGATTATAGTTCTCCTACTTCCCCGATGCTTGACGAGAAAACAATCTGAAAAATTAGACGGAATTTGAAGGGAAACAGGGAAAGGTAAGCCTTCTGATTTAATTAGTGTGTTTATCCCATTTTTTTCTGCGGACTGTAAATATTCAGATTATAAAGTAGTTTAAGGATTTCTGCAGGAGGCAAGACGAAGGTCGCTATGTAAAGGTGAGCTCCGTCATTGAAGACGCACGGGTCATTCGTGTAAATAACGGAAAGGATTTTTATTTGACGTTACATTCTAGTGTACACTGAAAAGAGAAACCTTCTGGCACTTGCTTCACCTGATGCATCAGACAGTGAGTCTATTCAAAGAGCTTTGATTGTGTTTAGTGAATGGATGGGCCCAGCAGCTTTAAATACCAGGTACAAGACTCCTATTATTATTAGTAGTAGTAGTAGTAGAAGAAGAAGACCACCACCCAAACCATTAGAGATGGATTTTCGTTGTTGTTTTGCTTAAATTATTTCTTAATGGTCACTTTGATGAATTTGTAGTTACAACAAACTGGTTATAAAAATGTATAACTTACTAACATATCACATTTCAAAGCTTCAGTCCACACCTGCTATGTGATTCTAGTTGTGTCAAACATGTCAGCAAATGCAATGGATCTTTAATGGTGCAGCACAACTAATACACTGATTAAATAAACAAGTGTGAGACTATAGCAACAGTGAAGCTAATGCAGTTGTTTTTAATCCGAATTACAGTCTCTACTCGTTTTTCTGCGCATCAGTCCCACTGTGATTGTGTCTAACCTGCATGCAATGTTATATAACAGCCAGTCACAGTCTCCGACCGCAGGGCCCGAGCAGGAACTTTAGCAAGAAGCAAACTCACTAATAGGGACGACTTTAATCAGGTGATATTTAAATGGACGGCACAGCCACAGGGAGGATGTTGTGAATATCTGCCTGTGAACATAAGCTCATCATGGTTCAATCAATAGATAGTAACACCCTGGCTGTACTTTGCATAAAAAATATAGTGTTAGATGAATGTAGGTACTTTCATGTGTGACTTTGTGTTACAATATGTTAAAAAAAAAGAGTCCTTCCCACTCTGCATCTATGTGAATGTGTCCTGATTCTGTTAAGACCTTCTTTGTGTTCAGTTCATTTACATCAGGGGTGTCAAATTCGTGGCTCGGGGGCCACTTGCGGCCCACGTCACTTGCGGCCCGTATATTGACGTGAAGAAACATAATGCAATTTGAAGGGACTTCTTATGTTTGGGAGGATTTGTTTGTTGTTGAGTGCGATGCTAAAATAAGTTCTTTAAAAAGCCAAAAATGATTCAATATGAAGGCAACATGAGCAGAGAGCACAAACATGCTGAGGGATCGGCTGTCTGCTGTCACAGACTCATGTGTGCACTTAATACAAACAAAACAATAGCAGAAGTGATGCCACGTGTGAAAGAGAGAACGAGTGTCATTATTTGGTATTTCAATCAAAGGCTTCAGTTAGTTATGAGTTTGCAGTTTTGTCTTGTTATACAATATTTGAAATGTAAATTCTGGTGAGGGGGATGAGGGGGGATCGGACTATGTGACAGGGGGCGTGGTAGATGGATAAATGTTTATCTTTTATGCTTGTAAGCTGGTTCAGGTTATGATCCAGCCTCGCCAGTATTTTATACAAATGGAACAGGAAATAAAATGCGTCACTCCTTCTGCCTGATCAAAATGATGCCTTTTGTTGTGAGATGAATGGGCGACCCTCACTTATGTGAAAATGCCGCTCTCAGCCTCTTCCTGTCAGTACAGGCAGCACCGCACTGTTATTTGGAGAGTGGATGTGCCAGTATAAGCAGAAAGGACTAAAAGGGCCAAGCAGGAATATTGTTTTACGTTGTGCTTATAATCCCCACATGAAAACAGGAGCTGATGTAAAGTTGAGAGAAAAACGCAACAGTATAAAACTGTCTCTGCACAGTGCCATAGTTTCCTGTTTTTATCCAGAGACAGATTGTGCTCTGTGGACTTAAACAGAGAGACTGAGAGTATAATCCTTTCTAGTAGGGAGGAAGGTAGGATAATGCAGCCAGCAGAGACGCTTGCAGACCCTGCATGGCTGCTGTTGCCATAGCAGATAATCAACCAACAACTGATACTGCAGGAGGACCTGTGTAATGTACAGGGACACCTTTTGGGGGCTGTTTAGTTACAAAATTGTTGCAGAAGTTTCAAAAGAAGCAAGGAAGTAGAAAGGTGGTTGTATTGGAATTGAAGAATATGATATACAGTAGAAGAAGAAGAGCGTGCTGTCTATATGAGCTTAATTTACACCAAAGTAACACTGGCTTTTCTTTATTCATGAATATCCTTCAATAATCACTGAGCAACGCTTCAAAAAAAGCACCTTTAATCACCGATGGGTTGTTGTGTGGTTTTAACCAGTAGTGCTGCTGCGTGTTGCTCCTGCCGAGCGATCACATGGTGGACAGCTTTAACTCAGGGAGCTATTACCATCCGTTCATGTCTATTAATACCACGAAAGGCCGTGCTGAGTAAAGATGGTGATCAGTTACGTCTGACAGAAAGCAGCAAGGCTTTAAGTTGTAAACAGATGCCGGGTTGTAAAGGCACCTGAACTTGTTTATTTCTCTGAATGGTACATTTAAGCTTCCCAGATAGTCAGTTGATGTAGAGAAGTCTTAAATGACATGCAGCATATATTTAGTTGATATTTGCCATTTAACTCTGCTGTTTCTCCAAATGCATGTGCTTGATGCATGTATGCATGTGTACTGTGCCTTCATCTCCTCATATTCATCTTCCTGAGCGAATTTCTAATGACATGAGCAGAGAATCATTTTGCCATAGTTTTGTGTTCTTATTCTGGCTTAACTAGAGAGCTTGCTTGTATGATAAAGGTTCACATTGCTGCCTGTCTGCATCTCTTCAATGACCCTCTTCGCTCGTGTTTCTTATGTGTGTTTTTATGTGACTATATTCCCTGCAGACTGGCAGCCATGCTGACCAGCTTTCTGGAAGGTCTGCTCTGCTGCTTCACCTCAAAGCCGACCAATATTGTGGTTCCTGTAGAAACCTCAGAACCTGCTGATGGCTACGAGTTTGTGGAGGTAAAACCGGGCCGCATTCTGCGAGTTCGGCATATCATCCCCGACAGGCCGGTGGTGGAGGAGCCCACCGGGCTTGGTGGGAGTGTGAGCTGCAAACGAAAAATCACAGTTTACCGTAACGGACAGCTGTTCATTGAGAACTTGGGTGACAGGGCGAGTGCAGAGCTGAAAAGCTGCCAGAATGGAGAGACAGAACCCAACAGCACCATGGAGGTAGAACTGACGGACTGTGGTAATTCGTTGCCGCCCGTCAGCATTCCTGAGGCGAGATCAGACTCTCTCACGGCTGGAAACAACGGCGCATCCGACACAGCAGCAGCAGTGGGTGAGGCTTCTGCTGCTGGACAGACTGACCAATCTCAGCAACCCAGGAAGCGCAGGCGGAAGCCCAAGCGCACTGTGGTGATTGACTGTGAAAGGAAGATATCAGCCTGTAAAGGGACACATCCAGATGTGACGTTGTTCTTCATTCACGGAGTCGGAGGTTCGCTGGATATCTGGGGAAGCCAGCTGGACTTCTTTTCTCGGCTGGGCTACGAAGTGATTGCCCCGGACCTGGCAGGACACGGAGCCAGCTCAGCACCGCAGATTCCTGCAGCGTATACGTTCTATGCGCTGGCTGAGGATATGAGAATCATCTTCAAGAGATACGCTCGGAAGAGGAATATCCTCATAGGACACTCTTACGGGTGAGTCCCAGATCACAGCGTTCAAACAGAACACGGTCCGGAGGTCATCCAGAAGTGTTCAGGAAACCTCAGCGTCTCTTTGTTTCAGTCATTTGTCAGGCAAAGATCTGAGATCTTACTGGAGGTTCTGAAATATAAGAATTTACTCTGCAGTTTCATTAAAATTCAACATATTTAGATTTCATGAAGATAAAACAAGAATTTTACCAAACCAACTTCAAGCACTTTAACAGTCACAGCAGTTATAAAGTGATACACAAAAATGATTAAATACATTAAAAACAATCAAAAGTACAAAAATAACACCAATTAAGCTACAATAAAAACAAATACACTGGTTCAAAGACCACAAGGGATGAATAATTAAAAATGTTCAAAACTAATTCTAAAAATAGTTTTTTTAGACACATCATAATAAGCTATGGAAAATAAAGTTGCCAGTAAACAAAAGGTGTAGCAACATACAGTGGGACATGCTATACAGTAACAAAAGATATGTTAAGAAGAACTGTTAAACTTCTATAATTAGAGCTATAATTAAAACCACAAATGTAAATTATACAGCACAGACATTTAGTATGTGAATAACATATATATTTAATTTCAAAGGGACTTTCTAGTCTAACTAAATAAATGATTCTTTGCCCTCATAAGCATGAAACAATAACTTTGAGTAAAATACAACAGAATAAATGGTAAACAGACTGGTTCTTATAAAGTGCTTTTCTACTCTACTCAGCACTCAGGTAGCTTTATACAACTTACATGATTCATCCAAGCACTTTTTTCTATGCATATGTGCTTTCTGACTAACATTTACACTGATGGATGCATCAGAGAGCAACTTTAATTCATTTTTATTTAAATAGCACCAAATCACAACAACAGTCGCCTCAAGGTGCTTTATATTGTAAGGTAGATCGTACAATAATAGATACAGAGAAAAACCCAACAATCATATGACCCCTATGAGCAGCACTTTGGTGACAGTGGGAAGGAAAAACTCCCTTTTAACAGGAAGAAACCTCCAGCAGAACCAGGCTCAGGGAGGGGCGGGGCCATCTGCTGTGATTGGTTGGGGTTGGGGACTAACTTGGGTTTAGAATCTTTCCCAAGGATATTTGGCACCACCCACAAACCGCCAGCCTTCAGTTAGTATGTATGCTCTGCCTCCTGAATAAACCTGTAAACTGAATCTATGCCCATCCAGTGAACTCCTTTTGACCAGATTCTAATAAGTGTGTTTTGCATTGTATGTAACAAAAATTACATGGAAAGTTTACACGTAATCAAATTCCTGTAATTTCCTGCAAACAAATGACTTGAAGTCGGCATTTTGTGCATAAATACTTTTTTGAGTGTAGTGAATATAAATAATGCTAAATTTTATTCTGTCTGTTATTTAGCTGGGTCTTATGCTACACTAACTTCCTTTTACTTCCTGTATAGCCATTAAAATCAGTGTTATTGCTGTTAACTGTGATAATTATTGCTCAGTTTCTTACACACTATATTTAATCCAGACTTTAAAGACGTGCTGACTTGTGAAAATGTGAGCAAGTGAAAAAGTGAGGCACAATATTTGGACTCACACATAAAAAAAGGCCAATTCTGAACAGTAGATTTCAAAGATGACTACCACAGCATGATTACCTGGTTTTTTCAGTCTGTCCTGTAACCGGCCTGTTGTTCTTTTTGTCTAGTGTGTCGTTCTGCACCTTCCTGGCTCATGAATATCCAGAACAAATTCACAAGATGGTGATGATCAACGGCGGCGGTCCCACAGCTCTGGAGCCCAGCCTCTGCTCCATCTTCAACCTGCCCACCTGTGTGCTTCACTGCCTCTCCCCGCTGCTTGCCTGGTGCTTTCTCAAGTAAGACAGCGAAATTGAAAGATCCTCCAAGGAAGGAGGCACGACTCAGTTTGTTTTCTGTTTCTCTAAACAGTTGAAGTTCAGGTTTGTAGCCTCCTAAACATAAACGCAATGAGTCCAGTCAGATGAAATGTGCACACAGTTGGGTATTTTGCAGTGTTATACATTGCTTTTTCAATATTACATCATAGTGCCAATATTTATTTAAGACCAATCGTATTTACACATTTTGCAGAAAGAGTGTGAGTAAGAGAGTTTGACAAAGAAATAAAAGTCGTGCAGACAGTAAAACTGTCTGTAGTAGCAAATCCTGTTTATTGTATGTGTAATATCATGTATGTAGGATAATTCTTCTTATGTTTAATCTGCTGTTAAATTAATGTTTAAAATAATAATTTTTTCTTTGGTATAAATGTCGTCTACTCTGCAGGGCGGGCTTTGCTCGGCAGGGCGCCAGGGAGAAGCAGTTGCTGAAAGAGAACAATGCCTTCAATGTGTCGTCTTTTGTGTTGCGTGCCATGATGAGCGGGCAGTACTGGCCTGAGGGGGACGAGGTCTACCACGCTGAGCTGACAGTGCCCGTCCTGCTGGTGCATGGCATGCATGACAAATTTGTCCCTGTTGAAGAGGACCAACGAATGGCAGAAGTAAGTGGGGGGTCTCACACTTCCTAATGAAGCTATTATTATTATAAATAACAGATTGTGGACTGAAAACATCATTCTGTGGTGAAAAGGATAAGAAATGTGTCCCAGTTTGGAAAGAAGAAAATCCAGTTAAAAAACTTCATTAAAACAGACGTTCAGCTTTATTTATACAGCAACAAAGCACAACAACAGGTGCCTCAATGTGCTTTATATTGTAAGGTAGCGAAAACCACAACAATCAGAAGATCCCCAATGAGCAAGTGCTATGGTGACAGTAGGAAGGAAAAACTCCTTTTTAACAGGAAGAAACCTCAGAACCAGCTCAGGGAGGGGCGGGGCCATCTGCTGCAACCAGCTGGGGTGATTGGAGGAAGACGGGACAAAGACGTGGAAGAGCGTCATAATTTCAAAGCTATGTAATATAAGATAAGAATCATCACCTTGCTTTGTGTTTCAAGTTGAACTCTCTGGTGAACATTTGATAATCTTTCAGCCTGGTTCTTCTCTCTGATGAAAATAGCTGCTCTGCACGCAGCGATGAAATTAGCTTAGGAAACAGATCGTTCCCTCAGGGGTCGGTAATCAAAGCAAAGATAGAAATATAATTCTCAGGTGGCCAGAAAAACAACTGAATCAGTGCTTTGCTAAACGAGCAGCAGTTTGCAAACAAATTCACCGTAACAAGCTGAAATATGAAATCAGGTCAGTTTACAGCATCCAGTGAATGTTTAAAAAATCAGCTGCTTTAACAAATTCTCAGGTAAACAGCAGCTAAAACGATGATGCAGCGGCTGAACTTTAGTGGCTGATTCATGAGAAGAGACACAGAAATTCATGTAAATGCCAAATCGTGTCCTTCTGTCAACTTACACACATAATGTGCTTGTTTTCCGCCCACTAAAAAGGACCAAAAGGTTTTGTTTGGATTCACACTTTGACTCTGATTCATTCATTTGAACTGTAGTTTGTTATTTGCAGAAATATTTGACAATATCATTCAGAAAGTGTTCAGCTGGTGATGAGTCTAACCTTTATTCTTATCCTTATTTTTATCAGATACTTCTAATGGCGTTCCTGAAGGTCTTGGAGGACGGCAGTCACATGGTCATGATGGAGTGTCCGGATCCTGTTAATACGCTCCTGCACGAGTTCTTCCTCTGGGAACCGCTGACCCTCCCAGCGCCAAAGAAAGAGTCCAAAACCCGTCCAGAGACCGCTAAAGCTCGAACTGATAACACTCAGGCGATAGCTAAGCCCAGCAAGGCCCGGCCTGCGACTGCTAAACCAGCCCAATGAAGCGGCAGCAGGTTCACATCAGAGCTGAAACACTGGTTGTTACGGTGAATCGTGGTCGGCCAGTCGGTGCATCACAAGCATCCCAGTGCATCTGGTGCAAGCTGTTAAACCTGATGATGAGCCAGTTAACTGGTCCTGCTGGAGGCGGGACACTCTGCAGAGGTCACTGATTCCAAATAAACTCCAACCACTTAACACACAGCAGCGAGGACGCGTTTGTGCCTTGAACTGATGCGTTACAGTGACGGTACCTGGATCGGGGAAGCACAAATGGAAACAGCCACGAAGGCAACGATGAAAACAGCTGCCAAGTGGGAAAGATGATAAACTGGGACAAGAACATGTGGCTCCTGGTTGAGCACAAGCTGTAATTAACAGCTGAGACTCAACCTTATGAAGTGTAGCTGGATAGTCAGTCATTGTTTTTATTCCTCATAAGTATTGCAAACCTTACCTGTTGTAAAGGTAAGCATGTGAAAATAACACAATGCCATACGCAAAATAACTAATTGAGAAGATGTTTTTTGATGAAAAACAAAACCTCCGTCCATTGGCCTTTTTCTTCTCTCTTCTCTTCTTCTCACTGATGCATGAAGCTCAGTGTAGCTATGAAAGCAGCTGCTTCTGGTATTTAATAGAAATGCATTAATGGGGGTTTGGGGGGGGGATCCAGAAAGAAGTGAAAGTAAGTTTGCTGCTTCTGAGACATCAAGAAAATGATGTTCAATCGAGTGTGCACGGCTAAACTTAGCAATGACTGCAGGTCATCACTGAGTCCTACATTTACAGGAACAGCACGATCGCATGTATGCAGCGAGGTGTAACTGCAGCAGGAAACGAAGCATGTCGAGCACTGCAACAGAGAACATGTCCAAGCTGAACACCACAAAGTATTTGCAGACACTATTGATTGTGTAGTGCTGCTACGTGTCGGTGCTGTAGCACCTCTGAGATTTCATTCCTCACTAAAACTGACTGAGAGTCGCTGACAAACAGCTTCTACGTGTCCTTTATTACACTGTGTTGTGTTATTGTGTCTGCTGAATGCACACAAAAGAGTTTAGCTTGGAAACATGTTACTGTCCAGTGCACCGACTGTAACGTTTGAGTCCTTCGTAGTTTAACGTGGACGTCTGTGACTCCACAGCGTAAACAATCAACACTACGAAGCTGTTAAATCCTCTGTGACTGTAAAGGTTTAGTTCGTTAGAGGATTTAAATTCTGGCATTTGCTGTGTTCACAAACCCTCACAGGGCCTCAGTCAGCTGTACAGGGCACAGATCTCACCCTTTTCTTTCTTTTCAAACATATTTGATTTTTTAAATTCGTAGGACAGACTTTTTATACTTTTGACTTCAGGTTAGGATGAATGTTTCTGAGATTCAAAGCAAGAAATGTTGCTTTTGATTCAAATAGAAGGAAACTGTCTGCTTTGTGTCTTGTGTGTCTTAAATTTTGTAACTGTTGGCCTTTGTCAAAGAAAAACATGATAAATTATTTACATGATCACAGTAAATGTGAATTTTCAAAAAAATAAAAGATAAATCTTCTGTTTTTTCTACATTCGGAGCAGCTGCCATTTTAATTTTCTTAAAATCAGAAACAACCTTCTTTACAGTTATATTGTTGCACACAAACAAACAGAAGCTGTCCAACCACAGCGAATTAGCACTGGGAGTCACAACGTCCCCCCCACACGTGCTCGAGGATTAAAGTGCTGACATCTGTGCGAGTATTCACAAAGCTTCCAAAGGTACAAACAATAATCGAAACTGTAAAATCTTGATATTTCTCACATGGTCCCGTCAAAGTTGAGACTAAATCTCGATAAAACAAAAGTAAAGACATAAAAACTGCTTCTAAGGTGAGACTGAAAGAAGGACTTTTAAGCAGAGAGGAAACAGAATATTCATAGTTCATATTATTCACTTAAATCATATTTATCCATTTAAGCAAAGGAAGATCCAAAGCACAGGTTATGCAAGACAGCCAATAAAAACAAGCCCAGCGGTTCTCACACATTAAATAAATGTAAGCAAACTATAAATGTCAACAGTGAGCAAAGTTTCTACATTTTTAAGGCAGAATGAATAAATGGTAAATGGCCTGTATTTGTATAGCGCTGTACACACTCACACACTGGTGTGAATGAATAACATCCTATTTATTGAAATGAGATATTTCTATTTATGCGTTTTAAAGAGATTTAATTATATGACTGAGTCTATTTTTTGCACTGTCAGTTTTCTATTTTGTTTTCCCATCTCTTGAAACAATCACACACTTAGCAACGACTTTTGATGAAGCTCGAGGTTTTGGTTTCTGGCTCAGAGCCGCCCTGAGACGAGCTGAGACGTGTTATTAGTGTGTTCTCTCTGATCGGCCGCTCAGCCCTGAAACTAATATGTAGAAACAAAGACACGTGTATGATTTTAACCTCCTGAAGATTTGAGCTCGTTTTCACATTTTTCTATTCAAGGAAAGATCCAGAGTAAAATGTCATCAGGTAAATTTATTGCAAACGAAAAAGAAAACTGTTGACCCAGTCTGCTCCACGAGTACGTTACTGGTGTGACTCAAAGAAACTCAGCACAACCAAAAAATGTTGATTCAAATGTTGCTCCAACTTCATTAGTGGGAGAAATATACAACAGATACTTCAAACCTTTCAGTGTTCCTGTAGTAAGAAGCTGAGTGAGGAACATATTTATCTTTTAAAGATATGCTTAACAAAGCCGATGACAGTGAGCAAATACAACGCATAAATACAACTGTAATAAAAAAACGCAGTGTGCCATAAAACACTGACTTTAACTAAATGTTCAAAAAATGCTTGTTACTATGTATAAATGAGGAAACAGAAGATGAACTAAATAACAGCGTAGAGGACAAAACAACTCGTCTGCTGTATATTTCAGATTTAGTTGTTAGACCCCTTTAAGTATCCAGTAAAGGGTCCAGTTTGATGACAGCTGTGCTGGTAAACTTTGTGAAAAGAGAGAAATTACATTTGCATTCAGAAACATTTATAACTTAATTTAAATCAAACACTTTGGAAACTGACGTGAGATATTTGGTCAAATTCTTCCACAAATCTAAAAGTTTTACAACGTTTATACATTCATAAGGTAATTTAAAAAAGCATAAAACTGAAGCGCTTATTTCCATCAGTGGACACAGTCGGCCGGCACCCTCACACCTCCACCGTGACAGTGGGACCGTTGCTGGTGTCGTCCAGCGGCGTGGTCTCCGTGGGTGGGGCCTCTTTCTCCGCCTCCTCTTTCTTCTCTTCTTTGTCAGGCACCAGAGGAGTGCTCTCTGCTGCCGCCTGCTGCTCGTTGCTGGTAGTGCTGGCTGGCTCCTCAGCCTTGCCTTCGTCTTTCTGCTCGGCCGCTTTCGTCTCGTTGACGATCTGCACCGAGTCGGCTGCAGAGGCCTGCACCGGTTTCACTTCCCCGTTTTGAACGGGGAACACGGCCTCCACGGCGTCATATATAAACTGGTATTGCTCCTGTTAGAAACACAGGAAACAAATATTGTTTCAGTGTGTTTCTTGTTAGAGTGAATCTTGCTTTCTTTGCTGTCTTACACACTTCCCTAAATAACCAGCAGGAAGAATCCCACGAACACAACACAAACACTGAACCGATACTACTAAACTCTGTGTGGACAAGCACGGATATCACAGTGCTTCATATCAGACTTCTACTGTCGCCACAAACTAGTCATTACAGTTTCCAGCTGCTGTAAAAGTTCACATAAGCCTGAACACACTGCTGAAAACAGGCAAAATGCAACAATGACTCAAGTTTACATCAACAGCAGGGAGAAAACAAATGGGCGTGGCTTTTTCATAGATTTGTTATCAAATAGAAGGCAGAAATGATCTTTATACTTGAGCTTACTTTTGTTTTTAAAACAGTAATATAAAATATACATTTCATAGTGAGCTAGAACAGGGAACTGGTGATGTGCAACGCTGATCTCTGGTTATAAGCAGAGTGTGAACGATTGTGTTCCTCTTTCTCACCAGGCTGGAGACCATGCGCTGTCTCTCTTTGCGCAGCGTTTTGACCACTTGGAAAACATCCACCAGCTTCTCGCTCTCAGCGTTGTCCAGCACGTTCCACAGGGCGCAGAAAACCCCTGAGCGGGACGAGCCGTCGCTGAGGAGCACACAAGTTACAAACAGGAGTTTATTAATTTATACATATCCATTTATGTATTAGACAGCTGTGGGCCTGTGAAGGACATCACATGAAAAGTGGATCTGTTGTCATAGGAAATAAAAATATAACTAATTAATCATCAAACAAAGGATTTCCTTAAAAGAATAATTGATGTTGGGTTAAATTCATGGGAATACTCAACTATTCCTGATCAGCTGACCTTTACTGTCTTTCACACTAACATAGATGCATTTTACTGTGTACACTCGGTAATCACACTTTGTGTGAGGTGGCTTTAGAGAGTGCTGTTGGGAGTGTTCACACTATTTTTATAACATATTCATGCCTGAAAGGAAATCAAATGCATGGTTTCCTTGAAATGAGGTGAGGCTGCAAAGCAGGGTGAGCTCATTTTCATCAAGATCTTTATCTAAAATTTGCAACGTAAATGATTGCTGCATTCATGCATGCTCTGTCAACTGTAGGGCTTGCACCAAAACATGTGGCAGCATCTGTATATGCGCAGAAATGCAGCTACGTAGCTGATTTCTCTGTTTAAAAGACATCCTGCTGCTTAGATTTTACCGAGCTCTTTATTTAAAAACACTGATCAAAGGGACACTAGTGTCCGCCCTGAAACCCAGCGAGATGGAGAAGTCGGCTGTTGCGACACATTTTACTGATCTGAACGCTGAGAACGATGACTCGTCCTTGCTGCGTGCTGCCCCGTTCTCATCTCGTCACTGAACTGTTCCCCGTGTGTTCTTACTCGCAGTGGACCACTATGGGGTTGTTCCTCTGTGATCTGCTGGTGCCGCAGTTTTGCTTGATGTCCTTGATCATGTCTGTGAGGTCTTGAGGTTTCTCCGGCACCTCCTCTTTGCTCGTCCACTTCAGGAACTGGAAATGGTTTATCTCCCGTCTGTCTTTCCTCTGTGGATAGAAGAGGACGAGAAGAGCACAGCTGGCTTACAAATGTCCGGTCTCATCAGTGGGCGAGGCTCGCTTACAGAGGCAGAGTAGGTGGCGGCTGTGTTACCTTGACGTGGCGGATCTGCATGGTGCGTCTGATGAAATTTGGCGAGTTGTCTGTGCTCGTCACCTCCACCTCAATCTCCCCAAAGCTCTTCTTCTCTTTGTCCCAGTAAATACAGTCCTGTTGAGCAGGAGAAAACAAGCATATTTACCACATGTACATTTAATGTGTGTCACTATAAGTATGTTATATTGTATGTACCGCTGCTTCACTGCTGTCTGAAAGCATGACGACAGTATAAACTTTCTTCTGGTAAATCATCGACCAGAAGTCCCCCGTGGTGTCTGCCAGTGGGGTCTGTGCCACTATGAAGACACGGCAGCCCCAGTATCCCTGTGTGGGAGACAAACACATCGAGTCCAAACATAGAAGATGAGACATTTCGTTATCTGGTGCAACAGGAAAGAAGGTGACAGGAAGCAGTTTGTCACAGTTTGACATCGGCTGGTATTTTTAGTAGTTTACATAGAAACGGGTTCATAAATAGGCTGAACGTTACCGTGATGTGCGAGGCGTTGATGTATTGAGTGGAGTCTTCATCCTCTTCATCTGAAGAATCTTCCTCCTCATCGTCTTCGTCAGGGTCACTGTCCTGACTTCGTCCTTCATCCAGCTTCAGGAGCACGCGGTTGAAGTCATCTGCAGGTTTGATATGAAAGAAGTGGAACTGAGCAGATGTAATCTTACATGCGAGCACACGCGTGCATGCAAAGCAAACTCACAGGGGATGACCGACGAAGAACGATTCTTCTTCTTGTTTTCTTCGGTCACTCCTGTGTTGAGCGTCCTCCAGTTTTTAAAGGTGGGGAGTCTCTGCAAGATCATTTTGTCTATTAAAACTTTGCTTCCATCCAATCCATCGTGCAGGATGTGATGGAGAAGAGGACGACAGGCACACTTGATGATATTTTTAGATTTCAGGCGTTTGTGCTACATCAATGTTTTAGGGTCATTTACATTATTCTGTCAGAGCTCTGTCAGACACTCTTTACGTGAGTTCTCTGTGACTCACTCAGCGACTTAAACACGATCAAAGCTGCATTTTCGGTCCCTCGCACTGCTTTTCTGTAGTTTACAGCTATAAAAGTGATAAGATACGGCGTACCTCAAACTCCTCCTCCATGAGCGTGGGCTCGTCGTCCAAGTTTTTCTCTTTGAGCGTGTTCATTGTGCTGTGCAGCTCAGACAGGCTGATCTCTGTCTCTCCAAACTGGTTGTGCTCCAGCAGGGCCTGGTGAATCAGGATGTACTGGGCCTGTGTGCACACAAATGCACTCATGTTAATGCACGAGAGACAAACCTCGAATGTGCCGCAGCATTTATATCTCATTTACCCTCATTTATTTAATACAGGAT